ATCTATCTATCTATCTATCTATCTATCTATCTATCTATCTATCTATCTATCTATCTATCTATCTATCTATCTATCTATCTATCTATCTATCTATCTATCTATCTATCTATCTATCTATCTATCTATCTATCTATCTATCTATCTATCTATCTCTATCTATCTATCTATCTACTATCTATCTATCTATCTATCTATCTATCTATCTATATCTATCTATCTATCTATCTACTATCTATCTATCTATCTATCTATCTATCTATCTATCTATCTATCTATCTATCTATCTATCTATCTATCTATCTATCTATCTATCTATCTATCTATCTATCTATCTATATATCTATCTATCTATCTATCTATCTATCTATCTATCTACTATCTATCTATCTATCTATCTATCCTATCTATCTATCTATCTATCTATCTATCTATCTATCTATCTATCTCTATCTATCTATCTATCTATCTATCTATCTATCTATCTATCTATCTATCTATCTATCTATCTATCTATCTATCTATCTATCTATCTATCTATCTATCTATCTATCTATCTATCTATCTATCTATCTATCTATCTATCTTCTATCTATCTATCTATCTATCTATCTATCTATCTATCTATCTATCTATCTCTATCTATCTATCTATCTATCTATCTATCTATCTATCTATCTATCTATCTATCTATCTATCTATCTATCTATCTATCTATCTATCTATCTATCTATCTATCTATCTATCTATCTATCTATCTATCTATCTATCTATCTATCTATCTATCTATCTATCTATCTATCTATCTATCTATCTATCTATCTATCTATCTATCTATCTATCTATCTATCTATCTATCTATCTATCTATCTATCTATCTATCTATCTATCTATCTATCTATCTATCTATCTATCTATCTCTATCTATCTATCTATCTATCTATCTATCTATCTATCTATCTATCTATCTATCTATCTATCTATCTATCTATCTATCTATCTATCTATCTATCTATCTATCTATCTATCTATCTATCTATCTATCTATCTATCTATCTATCTATCTATCTATCTATCTATCTATCTATCTATCTATCTATCTATCTATCTATCTATCTATCTATCTATCTATCTATCTATCTATCTATCTATCTATCTATCTATCTCTATCTATCTATCTATCTATCTATCTATCTATCTATCTATCTATCTATCTATCTATCTCTATCTATCTATCTATCTATCTATCTATCTATCTATCTATCTATCATCTATCTATCTATCTATCTATCTATCTATCTATCTATCTATCTATCTATCTATCTCTATCTATCTATCTATCTATCTATCTATCTATCTATCTATCTATCTATCTATCTATCTATCTATCTATCTATCTATCTATCTATCTATCTATCTATCTATCTATCTATCTATCTATCTATCTATCTATCTATCTATCTATATCTATCTATCTATCTATCTATCTATCTATCTATCTATCTATCTATCTATCTACTCTATCTATCTATCTATCTATCTATCTATCTATCTATCTATCTATCTATCATCTATCTATCTATCTATCTAATCTATTATCTGATATATCAAGAACATTCCTTTAATTTTGAATGAATCCTGTTTGTAGAGGTTCCACATTCATGTTTGGGGGTTGTCGCCAACTAATATATGACGGTTGCTGTGACTGGGAATTTAACACTGGAATTATCAGAAAAATGTTATTTCAACATTGTTGTAGGTTCAACCATTGCAAAAATTTTGTGTCGTCTGATGTTGGAAGATGATAAAGTAAATAATTTTAACACCCTTTTGAGAAAATAAAACTGCTTTTGCATACATTGTATACATTGAATATTAAACAGTGATAATAGAGTGGATAAAAAGCATATGCAAAACAGTTCATTGAAGTGAATAATTTTTGTTTTGCTTTTGAAGACTTCTTGACTCGGGCACTATACACAATTACATTTTGTTAAGGTATTTGGGAAAGGGTTTGAAAAGTACTATGTAATTAAAAGTTCAAGATGAACAAGATTTAGGCAGCCTTTAATAGCGTTTCGGGAGGCTAAAATTGACATTTTTCTTTCGCTTTCACGGTGGTACTTCTACAACTATAGGGTGAGCTGTTAGATGACTAACCACCGCCCTTTTTTGTGAACGGAAGTCCTGCTTCCAAATGCTTTTGATATCTAAAGAAACTTTTCAAGGTCAAAGAAACAAACAATGATTTCCTCTTCCAAACTTCAACATCAATTAAAATAAACACATGAATGAAGTCAACAAAATCAAAAACAAAAATAACCTCCAAAAGCAACATAACAAACTATACATTCCTTAAAAAAGATTTGATTTTGATTGACTTGATTTATTTCCCCAAAAATATTTAAAATCAAATATCAAATTTCCTTTTGGCAGAGATTTTTGTTTGGCCATAACAAACAAAAACTTTAATTTTGAAAACAATACAAAAACCAGGTGCAGTTTAAGCAAAAATTAAATAAAAAAAGATTTTTAAGGAAAAATAACAACAAGAGCACAAACAACAAAAATTTAAGCAAAAAACAAAAAAAAAAAATATGTTTGAAATTTAAAAAATGCGCGCCAATTTCACGCATACAACAAAAAACACATATGCCAGGCCACGCTAAGCAACAGTGAGCACAGCAACTACTACTTATTGCTACAACATATTCAACAAAAAAACTTACAAAAAAACACATATAAAAAAAAGCAAAATTTTAAAAAATAAAGATGCCAAGAAGGGACCTAAAGAATGCCAAAATAATATAAACGATTATATGAACAACACCAATAACAAGAACAACAACAACGGCAGCAACAACAGCAGCTGCAATTGTAGCAACAACCTAAGATGTTCCTTGAAAAAGTTGGAAGTTTTTAAGATGCTTAAGTTTTTTCTTCCATTTTCGAAATACGTTTAGGAGTTTGAAGCCGGGAGAAACTAGTAACGTTGACAGCATTGTTGATGAGGGTGTGGAAGGAAGGGGGGAAACGATTTGACGCTGGTAAAGGCTCCTCTAAGTTTATGTTGTATGATTGCCTGACTGGATTGTTTGGCTGGACGCCTAACTACTCGCATGCCTGTTTTTGACTTCGTGCTTTCGTGAATTCCTGTGTGATTGGCTTGTTGGCTTAATGCTGCTGCTGCTGCAGACGTTTCTTGCTGTCGCCGATTTTGTTGCTGAGTGGAATGAAAGACAAGTAATGCGAGTTTAACCCTTTGGAAAATAATTGAAAATTTAAGTATTTCTAACTAAAAAACTAGTCTATGGTTAGGTTAGGTTGATAGGAGGATGTCTAGTCTATAGTGTAGTCTATTCTATAGTGTAGTCTAGTCTATAGTGTAGTCTAGTCTATAGTGTAGTCTAGCCTATAGTGTAGTCTAGTCTATAGTGTAGTCTATAGTTTAGTCTATGGTGTAGTCTATAGTCTAGTCTATAGTCAAGTCTATAGTCTAGTCTATAGTCAAGTTTATAGTCTAGTCTATAGTCTAGTCTATAGTCTAGTCTATAGTCTAGTCTATAGTCTAGTCTATAGTCTAGTCTATAGTCTAGTCTATAGTCTAGTCTATAGTCTAGTCTATAGTCTAGTCTATAGTCTAGTCTATAGTCTAGTCTATAGTCTAGTCTATAGTATAGTTTATAGTCTAGTCTGTAGTCTAGTCTATAGTCTAGTCTATAGTCTAGTCTATAGTCTAGTCTATAGTCTAGTCTATAGTCTAGTCTGTAGTCTAGTCTGTAGTCTAGTCTATAGTCTAATCTATAGCCTAGTCTATAGTCTAGTCTATAGTCTAGTCTATAGTCCAGTCTATAGTCTAGTCTATAGTCTAGTCTATAGTTTAGTCTATGGTGTAGTCTATAGTCTAGTCTATAGTCAAGTCTATAGTCAAGTCTATAGTCTAGTCTAGTCTATAGTCTAGTCTATAGTCTAGTCTATAGTCAAGTCTATAGTCAAGTCTATAGTCTAGTCTATAGTCTAGTCTATAGTCTAGTCTATAGTCTAGTCTATAGTCTAGTCTATAGTCTAGTCTATAGTCTAGTCTATAGTCTAGTCTATAGTCTAGTCTATAGTATAGTCTATAGTCTAGTCTATAGTCTAGTCTATAGTCTAGTCTATAGTCTAGTCTATAGTCTAGTCTATAGTCTAGTCTATAGTCTAGTCTATAGTCTTGTCTATAGTCTAGTCTATAGTCTAGTCTATAGTCTAGTCTATAGTTTAGTCTATAGTCTAGTCTATAGTCTAGTCTATAGTCTAGTCTATACTCTAGTCTATAGTCTAGTCTATAGTATAGTCTATAGTCTAGTCTATAGTCTAGTCTATAATCTAGTCTATAGTCTAGTCTATAATCTAGTCTATAGTCTAGTCTATAGTCTAGTCTAGTCTATAGTCTAGTCTATAGTCTAATCTATAGTCTAGTCTATAGTCTAATCTATAGTCTAGTCTATAGTCTAGTCTATAGTCTAGTCTATAGTCTAGTCTATAGTCTAGTCTAGTCTATAGTCTAGTCTATAGTCTAGTCTATAGTCAAGTCTATAGTCTAGTCTATAGTCTAGTCTATAGTCTAGTCTATAGTCTAGTCTATAGTCTAGTCTATAGTCTAGTCTATAGTCTAGTCTATAGTCTAGTCTATAGTCAAGTCTATAGTCTAGTCTATAGTCTAGTCTATAGTCTAGTCTATAGTCTAGTCTATAGTCTAGTCTATAGTCTAGTCTGTAGTCTGTAGTCTAGTCTATAGTCTAATCTATAGCCTAGTCTATAGTCTAGTCTATAGTCTAGTCTATAGTCTAGTCTATAGTCTAGTCTAGTCTATAGTCTAGTCTAGTCTATAGTCTAGTCTAGTCTATAGTCTAGTGTATAGTCTAGTCTATAGTCTAGTCTACAGTCTAGTCTATAGTCTAGTCTACAGTCTAGTTAATAGTCTAGTCTAGACTATAGTCTAAAGGACCGACATTGAGTCCAACATGCATAATTCTATTTCCCTCGCCTTATCGTACAACTATCCTTACCCACCATCATGGGTTAAGACAAAACATACCATAGAACAACAACTACTACAAATCTTTAATATAATACAACGTAAGTCAAATAGTTTCAGCCGATCGATCTGCTGCTGCCAGTCACTCAAATCAGCCAGCCTGCAGCTTGAGTTGTTGTTAAGTTAAAAATCTTGGACCAGGCAAACAGACATTGAAATTTTGAACAGTGAATTTAAATAAAACAAAACCAGTCTCCTCTTGTTACAACAGCAAGACAAGAAAAATGAAATAAGAAAAAAATAGAAAAACGCATACAAAAAATACCAGCTATAAACGGCTAAGTACAACGAAATGATAAAAAAAATTTTGTAAAATATTTAGCCACGATTACGAATGGCTACGACCAACACAAACGAGCCTCCTAGAAAGCCCAACACCAACCATCGCTATACATTCTAAATAGAGACTAGTAAATGATTGCTGCCTCTGCGCAACTGCAAAGATTTCAAAACGAAATATGAAGGAAAAAATCTCCAACACTGTTGTCAATTTGACGTTATTCCAGACAAATTTGACGTCTAGTCTATAGTCTAGTCTATAGTCTAGTCTATAGTCTAGTCTATAGTCTAGTCTATAGTCTAGTCTATAGTCTAGTCTATAGTCTAGTCTATAGTCTAGTCTATAGTCTAGTCTATAGTCTAGTCTATAGTCTAGTCTATAGTCTAGTCTATAGTCTAGTCTATAGTCTAGTCTATAGTCTAGTCTATAGTCTAGTCTATAGTCTAGTCTATAGTCTAGTCTATAGTCTAGTCTATAGTCTAGTCTATAGTCTAGTCTATAGTCTAGTCTATAGTCTAGTCTATAGTCTAGTCTATAGTCTAGTCTATAGTCTAGTCTATAGTCTAGTCTATAGTCTAGTCTATAGTCTAGTCTATAGTCTAGTCTATAGTCTAGTCTATAGTCTAGTCTATAGTCTAGTCTATAGTCTAGTCTATAGTCTAGTCTATAGTCTAGTCTATAGTCTAGTCTATAGTCTAGTCTATAGTCTAGTCTATAGTCTAGTCTATAGTCTAGTCTATAGTCTAGTCTATAGTCTAGTCTATAGTCTAGTCTATAGTCTATAGTCTAGTCTATAGTCTAGTCTATAGTCTAGTATATAGTCTAGTCTATAGTCTAGTCTATAGTCTAGTATAGTCTAGTCTATAGTCTAGTCTATAGTCTAGTCTATAGTCTAGTCTATAGTCTAGTCTATAGTCTAGTCTATAGTCTAGTCTATAGTCTAGTCTATAGTCTAGTCTATAGTCTAGTCTATAGTCTACTCTAGTCTAGTCTATAGTCTACTCTAGTCTAGTCTATAGTCTAGTCTATAGTCTACTCTAGTCTAGTCTATAGTCTACTCTAGTCTAGTCTATAGTCTAGTCTATAGTCTAGTCTATAGTCTAGTCTATAGTCTAGTCTATAGTCTAGTCTATAGTCTAGTCTATAGTCTAGTCTATAGTCTAGTCTATAGTCTAGTCTATAGTCTAGTCTATAGTCTAGTCTATAGTCTAGTCTATAGTCTAGTCTATAGTCTAGTCTATAGTCTAGTCTATAGTCTAGTCTATAGTCTAGTCTATAGCCTAGTCTATAGTCTAGTCTATAGTCTAGTCTATAGTCTAGTCTATAGTCTAGTCTAGTCTATAGTCTAGTCTATAGTCTAGTCTATAGTCTAGTCTATAGTCTAGTCTATAGTCTAGTCTAGTCTATAGTCTAGTCTATAGTCTAGTCTATAGTCTAGTCTAGTCTATAGTCTAGTCTATAGTCTAGTCTATAGTCTAGTCTATAGTCTAGTCTAGTCTATAGTCTAGTCTATAGTCTAGTCTATAGTCTAGTCTATAGTCTAGTCTATAGTCTAGTCTATAGTCTAGTCTATAGTCTAGTCTATAGTCTAGTCTATAGTCTAGTCTATAGTCTAGTCTATAGTCTAGTCTATAGTCTAGTCTATAGTCTAGTCTATAGTCTAGTCTATAGTCTAGTCTATAGTCCTAGTCTAGTCTAGTCTAGTCATAGTCTAGTCTTAGTCTAGTCTATAGTCTAGTCTATAGTCTAGTCTATAGTCTAGTCTATAGTCTAGTCTATAGTCTAGTCTATAGTCTAGTCTATAGTCTAGTCTATAGTCTAGTCTATAGTCTAGTCTATAGTCTAGTCTTAGTCCTAGTCTGTAGTCCAGTCTATAGTCTAGTCTATAGTCTAGTCGATAGTCTGAGTCTATAGTCCTAGTCTATAGTCTAGTCTAATAGTCTAGTCTATAGTCTAGTCTATAGTCTAGTCTATAGTCTAGTCTATAGTCTAGTCTATAAGTCTAGTCTATAGTCTAGTCTATAGTCTAGTCTATAGTCTAGTCTATAGTCTAGTCTATAGTCTAGTCTATAGTCTAGTCTATAGTCCTAGTCTATAGTCTAGTCTAGATCTAGTCATAGTCTAGTCTATAGTCTAGTCTCTAGTCTAGTCTAATAGTCTAGTCTAGTCTATAGTCTAGTCTATAGTCTAGTCTATAATATAGTCTTTTGCTAAAAGCTAAATCCGACACTTTTTGATGGGAAATGTTGGAAAAATTGGCAACACTGTTCCCTAACCTAACAGCCAACAAGCAATAAAATTCAACAACATAGAATTAAACGTATAAAAGTTTTGCTAAAAAATACAGAAAGACACACACACACACACAAATGTTAAAAAGAATCCAGCAAATCAAGCTCACATTATGCTGTGGAATGCGCCCAAGTGACGATATCGTAGCAGTTCGAAAGAATAAAAAAATATTGAAATAAAATTTCAGAAAAAAACGCGTTTACTTGCTTCATTCGTTGAATAAGCTCTATATGGTTAGATTGCAGATTGTATTCGCCGTATCTAGAGGAGAGCTGTATGTTGTATATTGTAGACGACTCTTGCTGGATGATTGGATGGGAGTAGAGTAGGGTTTTCTGTGTCTTGTGCTGTTTAACTCTTGGTTTAGTTTGTTGTTTTTCTTACAATTTTTTGTATTTTTTTTGTTTTTGCTCATTCATTTTATTTCGCTATAGCATGCATGTTGTTGCCTGTTATTGCTGCTGCTTTGTATTGAGACTGTAGCTGCGACTGTTGCTTGTTTGTTTGCTGCTTCACCCATACAATCATGGAATATCTAAATGGAATTTGAGGCATACCCTCTTATTCTCTTTTCTGGGGGGCTTTGAAAAAGAAATATCTTATTCTTAAGTATGAGTGTGTGTGTTTGTGTGGATCTATGTTTGTGCTACTGGGATTCTCATTTAGTTTGTAGTACAATTGTGTTTGTTCTCTGCTTGTTCTTTCTGTTTTTTTTGCAGTTTTTTTTTTTTATCACAAACGTTGTTGATTTAAACGTCGCTCAATGTAGAGTTGTTGGACAGTAGGAGATTTTGTATTGATTTTGATTAGGAATTATAATTTCAGTTTACATATAATGAAGACCATAAACTACACAAGGGACAAGTTTATAGCCTAGGCTCTTGTCTGGACTATAGTCTTGGCTACAGTCTGCGCTATAGTGTAGGTTATAGTCTGGTTATAGTATAGTCTATAGTCTGGACTATATTTCAGTCTATATTCAGGACTATAGTTTATACTTTAGTTTGAACTTTAGTTTAGTCTTTAGTTTGGGCTATAGTTTAGTTTATAACCTGGACTATAGTTTTGTCTTTAGTTTAGACTATAGTTTAGTATACAGTTTGACTATAATTAAGTCTATAGTTTAGACTATAGTCAGGACTATAGTTTGGTTTATAGTCTGGTCTGTAATTTAATATATAGTCTGGTCTATAGTTTAGTCTATAGTTTGGTCTATAGTTAAGTCTATGTATAGTTGTTTAGTCTTTAGTTTGGGCTATAGTTTTGTTTATAACCAGGACTATAGGTTAGTCTTTAGTTTTAGCTATAGTTTAGACTTTAGTTTGAACTATAGCTTAGTATATACTCAGGACTATAATTTAGTTTATAGTCTGGTCTGTAGTTTAATCTATAGTCTGGTCTATAGTTAGGTTTATAGTCTGGACTTTACTTTAGTGTATAGTCTGTCCTAAAGTTTAGTCTTTAGTTTAAACTATAGTTTTGTCCATATTTTGAGGTATAGTTTAGTCGATAGTCTGGACTATTGCTTAGTCCATAGTCTGGACTATTTTTAATTTATATTGTCTTTCAGTCTATAGTCTGGACTATAATTTAGTCTATAGTATGGACTATAGTTTAGTCTATTGTCTGGATTATAGTTTAGTCCATAGTCTGGACTATAGTTTTGCCTATAGTCTGAACTATAGTCTGTCTTTAGTCTGGAATATAGTTTAGTCTATGGTCTTTACTATAGTTTAGTATATAGTGTGGACTATAGGGTAGTCTGTGATCCGGACTATTGCTTAGTCTATAGTCTGGACTCTATTTTAGTCTATAGTCGGTATTATAGCTAGTCTATAGTATGGACTATAGTTTAGTGTATAGTCGGGACAATAGTTTAGTCTATAGTCTCGACTATAGTTTGGTCTATAGTCTGGACTATGGGCTAGTCTATAGGCTGGACTATAGTTTAGTCTATTGTCTGGATTATAGTTTAGTCTATATAGTTTAGTCTATGGCCTTTACTAGAGTTTAGTCTATAGTCTGGACTATAGTTTTGTCTATAGTCTGGACTATAGTTTAGTTTAGTTTACAGTCTGTGATCCAGACTATTGCTTAGTCTGTAGTCTGGACTCTATTATGGTCTACAGTCTGGACTGTAGCTTAGTCTATAGTATGGACTATAGTTTGTCTATGTCTATGGTCTTTACTATAGTTTAGTCTATATTCTGGACTATAGCGTAGTCTGTGATCTGGACTATTGATTAGTCTATAGACTGGACTCTATTTTATTCTATAGTTGGTACTATAGCTAGTCTATAGTATAGACTATAGTTTAGTGTATAATCGGGACTATAGTTTAGTCTATAGTCTCGACTATAGTTTCGTCTATAGTCTCGACTACAGTTTCGTCTATAGTCTGGATTATGAGTTAGTCTATAGTCTGGACTATAGTTTATTCTATTGTCCGGATTAGCCTCGACTATAGAC